TCTAGCCCGGCTCTGGCATCGCGGAGGACCATGCGGTTGAGTAGGCGGACACTGGACAGCATGGGTGAGACGGTGACGAGGGCCTTGACTCTTCTGTCTACTGCGGCGACTCTAACGCCGTGGCTTCCGGAGAGACTGTAGCCCCAGATAGCGATCTTGGTGGGGTCGACTTCGGGGAGACTCATGACGTAGGATATGGCCTCGTGCGTGTCTTTGGCTTGGTTATGGCCATCAACCTCGAAGCGCGGGGTGCCGTCGCTGGAGCCGAAGCTTCGGTGGTCGTAGACAAGTGAGGCGAGGCCGATTTCTTGGAAGCGTTCGGCGAGGGTGTCGAGGTACATTTCTTTCACGAGGGACCACTGATATGGGTACTTTTTAGTTTGGTTACATAGCTATAAGAAGGTTTGGGCTCTTCATACGCCGTGTGTAATGATTATTGCAGGTGTCTTTTTGTCTTTGGTTCCTGCTGGGTAGAACCAGCCACGGAGAGTCAAGCCATCGAGGGTCTTGAACTCGATATTGCGTCTTTCAGGACATCTACCCATTTTTTTCAACGTAAAGGCTTCAATTGGGATGGATGGACCTGGTTTATAGAGAACCTGAGGTATGTTTCACTTCTAGTGCGAGATTTCTACTCCTTTATATACCTCTCCAGCTCTCTCCAGCGTCAAATCATGACACGACGACACCATGCCACAATCCTTCCCAGAAGTTGCCTCGGTAGTTATACGCATATTAATGAAGGGGAGGTTTTAGCATCTGCTTCTTGATGTCTTGTCTTGTGTTGGAGAATGGATCATCATGGATAAGCCTGGCGCGTTCGGAGCTGGTCTCACGATATGAAGAATTACCCCACACCAAAGCTTCTCGCTTCAGCTGCAGCCCTATCGATAGGAAATAAAATGAGCGGTTGTGGCTTTGAAATAGTAAGCTGACAAACAGACTTTCGTAACTAAAGAGGATATATAGCCTGTTGTTCCCCAATCGAGGTCTAATCGCTGTTCCTGATGACGCTTTTCGGCTGCCTTTCGGAACCTTTCCCTACCGCAAACCAACAGGACAATGTCTACTTCGGGGTTATTCATTTATTGCCTTATTCCTCATTCTCGCCTACATGCAATAAGCTTCATGGGTCCCCTGCTATTAGGCCATGTCAAGCGAATAGTACATGAGACACTAAACCTCATCTGGAAGTGATAACTGCTGATATAACATGCTCTGCTTCTGAAGACGGTACTTGAGTTCCTGCTGTACGGAAGAATTCAATTCCGACGGGAATATGTGTTTTGAAAGGACCTATCATTCAAGTTTTACTCAAACTAAAAGGACATACGACGCGACGCTGTATCAGAAGAACTGGCGCATATATACTTAAGACTTGATCAACTGAGCTCAGGGGCGCTGAAAAGTCAGACTCATGGAAATCGGGTAGCTTATTGAACAACCTTGCGTTCTAAGACAGTCGGACTACTCTCCGAGATATAGTAGCCAGCGATTGAAGTATTCACGGATAGTTATGTCTTAGACCCCTGTCTCAAGGATTCTGATCACCATCCGGCAGGACCCGTAATTGTCATTATCATATAAGTTACACACATATATGTACACCGGCCAAGCAAATTGGTTAGGAGCGCTTCAGATGAGACAAATCGCAGTTGGTCATCAATTCTATGAACCTTCACCGCAACGTATCCGTATTAAAAATCGTCTTAGAGCACTAAACCTTCATAGGTTCAAGGAGATGACGAGCTGAAGACTGCAATTTCGTCGCCTCGGTAGGAAGATGTCTTAACACCGAATGACGGGCTTAACCATATATAAAGTTATATTCAAGCTGAATCCCTTTCGTTGCGGTCCACAAACAAAGATATAAGTCGCCACTCGGAGCGATAGAATTAAGGTTTGATGCCGCCCGTGTCACTACAGTACCATTGTCGGAATCCTGGATATCCCTAATGAATCAATCTATAAATCAAACCCGTGCGACTATAAACAAGAATAATCACAGGCCATCACTCGGAGATGTGATTACGTAACCGAGACAGAACACTTTCTTAGCTGATGAAGCTACCAAATTTTGAGGACAGAGAGCGTAGTAGTGTGAATACCGGCCTATAGTAGAAAATAGATATTTCCAATAGTAATAATTAATATCCAGAGATTTCTGTAGGCCTAGGGTTACACTGTTTAGACTAGCCTTAAGGCCGTCGGCCCGGACGTCTTGGTCCTTGTCGGTTTCAGCCCCTACTGGTCATATGTACTCCGGGCCTAGCCGATATTGAGACCGGTCTTGATGATGTTATATTCACTGTCCTCGCTCTTTGTACGGCGGAAGTTGTGACTCGGAAGGGGCTGCGACTAGTCCGAACCACCTGTGTGACCTTCGTCCTACTCCAATATTTTATATGGCCGCTCATGCAAATGGTTAGTAAAGCCCGATATTATGACTCATGTCTTTACAGTGTATTCTAGTCTCAACGTAAGCCGGTCCGATCTGGGCTATCGATTACTCTATTAATAGCTTTCATTCGCTACGAACGAGAATACGGGAGTACGAGTATACGAACTTTGTTACCCCCCATTTATTAGTTGAGTGAATCAGCCAGGAGAGTCTTGATGATTAGCACAGAAGAACTCAACCACCCACTAAAGCCTATGCATGATACTTTCGATGCTGAAACCCAAATGAGCCTGTTTGCTTCAACCCCTCGGCACTCCGGCCCAAAGATCAACAGGTTTTGAAGACGCGGAACAGCTCTTGAACAGAATCGTTCTGGCCAACAAAACCTGAGAAACATAACCCAAGCGGGAGGCAGAAAACGAAAGTGATAGGATGGTGGGGGTAGGGATATCCACGGTAAGGGGGGGCGGGGGATGGAGTAGTTAAATTATGATGTGCATCAAAGAGATGATGAAGGATGAAATTGATGGAGTGGAGATTGATATGCTAATAATAAGAGGTAAATGGGGCTGATTGTAGATGAAAACGTAGGTATGTAGATGAAGATGAGAAGAGCGGATGGAGGGAAAAGAAGAGGCAGCAGAAAAAGAAAAAGAAGAAGTAATGTGCGGTGCAAACCAGTCCCGTTCCAATTCAAATGGTTAGGGCTATACCTACACACGGCACGTATACTAGACCCGTTCCTAGGATCGATACTAATTCCTACATGTACTGTGGTTGCTGTGTAGCCCGTTATGTAGGCTACATGTACGTACAAGTACAAAGTATACACCTGGTCTCATGCCGCTCCCATGTACAAGCAGCTCGCCTGCTCACGTCAGTATGTGATGTAAAACAACGATATCAGTGGCTGGAGACGTCGAGCCCAGGCTATAGCTGGAAAGCAATCATATATTTTTACCATGCGGCCTTTCGGCCAACTCACAAAATATCACTCGCTTTTGTTTATGAGTGTACGTGAGTTTGATCGTTTGGCTCCAAAGAGCGATATTGATAAATTTTGGTACGTATAAGAGGTGTATAACGGCTCTTTTTTTGATGGCTTTTTAGAGTGGCCTATACTAGGCCACGGTAGCTACTTCCAAACACATCTAAATAGTATAATCTTCCTCCTTGTGGTCAGGAAGCATTATGATTGGTTGATTTTCTTCTACCAGGACTGCTATGCAGTGTAGATAGTGGACAAAGAGCCACTCCCGAGTTCGGAAGGGATGCGACATCCACTTTCGTAGGTAGGTAGTTTGTACTGACTATTAATATAGATCTATAGATATCATGGATGACTGGCTTCGTAGATAGAATGGACATTACAATATCCACTCAGAGGTCGTACATAGATTGGACAGTATATTTCGCTCTCTTAGGCTTAAGCTTTAGCGAATTTGCGGCCGGAGGCTGCATTCCACTTGTACTTACATATAAGCATTCAGTAGTTAGACATGAAATCAACACAATCTGACGAGGGACAAATTTGACACACCACTCAAAATCAACAAATTCATGTACCATGAATTTGTTCACAGGGCTATATAGCTGATCTCTGTTAGTTGTGTATCGATATACCTTTATGGACTCATGCCTATATTTCGAGAATTGGAGAACGAGTACACACAATAAACCGGTGACTACACTTCACGTGAATCCCACGAAGAAATCGAGACTGTATTTGAGCCGGTAGATAGTTGATCCTCGAATATACCTCATCTTTGCCTTGAAGGACATCTAGTACTGTAGGAGATATAATATATCTCTCCATATAGAACGTGAAGGCGGCAGAGGTCTTGACTCATGCACAAAGGGCTGAAAATCATGACCAGAAGATGAAATAAATCCGCCTTGATAATGTAAAAATTCGGAAAAAAGAAATGATGCTGAAACGTCAGGTACCAGCCTCCTTTCGGAGCCCAATGAAGGACGGTTCAGTGTTCATAATGCGCCGTAAGGGACTTGAACCCTTCCCAGTTGCTAACATTGATAATGGAAGGCAACTATGCTACCCCTGCACCAACGGCGCTTGAGAATAGATGATGGACTAGAAAATTTGAAGGAACATGTCACTAGTATCATCGCGCTAGTAATTGTGATCCTAGTACTTGCATTAGTGAATTGCTTGGTTAAGACTAAACGCTAAAAGGACATTATCTACAGTTTAGCTGGCACCACATGGAAATAAACTTATATTCCAGACATTGGACCTTAAACCTAGATCTGATAACCCTACATCGGTACATCTGATGAGGTTGAAAGTACTTGTGAACTTCAGGACACTATCCCGCCATAATGTCTTGCAAAGGGAATTATAAATCCTTTTTACCGCTCATTTCACTACCGTTATCAAGATATTCAAACCTCTAGGGGTACAAATAACACTCTAGCTAAAGGAGCCATATTGGTTCTCCAGGTATCTATTCCCCACCCATAGAAATAAAAATAAAAGCATAACCCAAACACACCCGTGCATTCATCATACCTCGTACAGACCCAATTAAACGTATACAGAAAGGCTAAAATATAAAAATATCCATACAAGAAAAGAAACTCAACTAAAGTTACCCTTCGCCAAAATGCCCAACACACTCTGTCTCTTCAGTCCCTCCTTCTTCCTCTCAATCTTCTTCTTCGCCTCCCTCTCATGCACAACCTTACTCCTGAGCTGCTCTCTAGACTGGAAGTTGATTGAGGAGCTCGCCTTGCCACCCCTCTTCACAGCACCCTCACCCTGACCAAGAGTCCTTTCAGTCCCGACAGAAGACTCCGAAAGACTGCTTGATGTGGTGCGGCGAAGAAGAGTTGGTACTTTGAAGGTTGAGGCATTGTTTGAGGTTTGGAATGCAAGCTTAGTGGTATTACTGGTAGCACTATTGGAGCGCGCAACAGCGGAACGGTCGATGACGCTGCCGATACGCTCGCGGCGGAGCACAGCTGTCTTGTCTTCTTCTTCATCCTCATCCGAGAAGTCGATTTGGGAGTCCCTTTCTTCGACGAGGAAGGATAGTTGCTATGAAAGAGTTAGTCATGGACTGTCACTCGGACGATAACACCGGGGTTTTGGGGGGGGGGGGGGGGCAAATTACCTCTCGAATTTGGGCCAGTGATGTAATCTTACTTTTGGCCTCCGTCCTTCTACTATTCGATGCTTGCAAGGATGCGGCCTCCTTACTCCTTTCACCCCGCTGCTCATCCTCTGCCAGCGGGACCGGACTCGCCTCCTCACTTTCTTCGAGTGTCTGACTCTGAGAGACACCATCCGTCTGCGATACCATGCCCAACTCGATAAACAGGTCCTCCTCACCTCTATCCAAAAAGTCCATCTCCTCATCTCTATCGCGATCCTCAATCGCCGCCAAAAACGCCGCTCTCTTAGGATTAGCAGCGATCTTTTCGATATTCTCATCCTTGAGCAGCTCCTTCCTCATCTTCGCAATCTGCCTTCGTTTCGCAGCTCTGCGTCGTGCTTCCGCGTCGTCTTCGTCTTCAGAGTCGTCGAGATCGAAGTTGGCGCCGCGCTTTTTGCGTAGCAATCCGGATTGCATATCCTTGAGCAGCTTGGTGACGTCTTTAGCATCCTGCGCCTTTTCACGCTCGGCGTAGAAAGCAGCCATGGCGTTTTCGTCAACGGTCTCGCCGTTGGTGTCGTCGACCATGTCCTCCATCTCGCCGTCGTGGTCGTTATCGGCATCGTCATCGGAGGCGCCACCAATTCCGGCATATTCATCTTCCGACTCCTCGGCTTGTTCATGCACCATGCCTTTGGCTTCACTCTTGGATTTATCAAAGTCGCTTGGTTTCTTTGGTTTCTTTGTCTTCTCAGCCTGCTTCTTTGATGACCTCTTCATCAAGTCAAAGAGATTGGCAACATCCGGCAGCTCCTCTTCTTCCTCCTCAGCAGCAGAGTCAGCTACTCGCTCCTCGTCTTCCTTTTCTTCGTCAGAGAAATCCATATCCTTCCTCACCAACCGCCCCCTCTTCTTCTTCGGTATACCGAACTGCTCATTCAACACCTGTGTTGAAATTGTACTAGGTACCTCTGGCTCCGGTGTAAACCTCGGCGGTGCTGGAGTATTCATGATCGTGAAGCCCTGATCCTGCGTTGGATCTGGCATATCCTCTTCATCCGACCCATACTGCAGCGACACCTTCGGCATCTGCTGCGAGTCTTCTACGGGCCATTTCTGGCTTTGTGAATAGTCGAGCTTGAGCTTTGCACTCTCGTCCTGGCTCTGGCTCTGGGTCCCGTCGCCAAAGTCGAGAATCTGTGTGTTTGGCAACATCTCGCCCGCGTCGCGCCGGAGAAGATTGATACGGTCTTCGGGTTTAACGGCCTGGGAGGCGGCGACTTGTACGTCATCAGGATTGCCCATGGTGCTTTCGAATAGCTGGGTCATCCCCATGCCCATCATCATTGGCGGCTGGGCATTAGGCCGGCGGAAGATGGAGGGAATCTTCGATTCAGCTGGTTTGGGAGCGGGTGGGGCCTCTTCTTCTTCGTCGTCGGAGACAACACACATCTTCTTGCGTTGCTGCTTCTTCTTTTTCTTGAGGGGTGCGAACTCACCACCGTCGCTGTCGTCGGAGGCTTCGTCGTCAATGTACGCCGATGGCATTTCAGAGAGGCGTGGCGTTGTATTTGTAAGAGGGCGCATGGAGGACAGACTGAAGACGGGGGTACTATTTGGATCCTCGTGTTCCCCATCCTCTCCCTTCTCATCGTCCGAGAAATCATTGACATCGGGTTTCTCCTCACCCTCTTCTACATCCTCCATCTCCTCTTCATCGTCACCTTCCTCCTCAGACCCCGACAAAAGCTCAATAATGGGGTCCTCTTCATCACCATCCGCCCAATCCTCGTCTTCCTCATCGTCATCATCAACATCTAGCCCTTTCTCCAATTTCTCTTGCCTCTTCTCAGCCCTCTTGATCTTGAGCGCCTCCTGCCTAGCTTTCTCTAGGAGATCGTCCACCTCGGCCTTCTCCTTCTCCCTCTCTTCAGCGGTAGGAACAATGATCCCCTTCGCTCGCAGCTCCTGGATATGTTCCTCTCGTTCCATCTCCGCCTGCTGCCGCCCCTTCCGCACCAGCTCCATCTGCAGCTCTTTAGCACTCAACTGCCCCGCCTTCTTAGCCCGCGGTGGCGATGGGCGCCGCACTTTCCGCAGCTCCTGGATCATCTTCTGGCGCCCAGCAAACGCAGCTTCTGCTGCGGAAGCCTGATCTGGTAGGATCTCGAGGTCTGAGTCGGAGTCATCGGCGGTGTTTGTAGTAGGGAGTGAAGGGAGGATTACACGGACGGGTGGTAGGGAGAGTCGTTTTTTGGTATCAGGGGGAGGCGCTTTACCTTTGCCTTTATCGAGGCGTGGTGGACTGAAGACTACTTCTTTGCCCTTGCCCTTATCAAGGCGGGGTGGGCTGAAAGCTACTTCTTTACCTTTGCCTTTACCGAGAGAGATTGGAGGGCCGTTATATACCGCTTTGCCTTTGCCCTTATCGAGCTTCTTTGAGGGTGTTGCGTCTAGGTCCATGGCTTCTAGCTGCGAATTTGGTACCGGGATCTCTGCATCATCCATCGTCGTGTCTTCGATCCTTTCCACTATCGTTTGCTCTAAGGGTAAAACTTCAGGCTTAGGCTTCTCTATAACACTCTCAGCAGAACTATCCACCGCCGACGCAGTGCGGAAATTGAATTTTTCGAACAAGCTCTGCTTCGTTATCTTTTTCCGCGTTGTCGCCTGATGCGCCAATTGCATACTCCGTGCCATGCGCTGTGTCTCTTTATGTATCTCCTCCATTGCCTTCTTTCCCGCGCGCCGTCGACTTGGCGCCTTTTGCGAGTTGGCATAGTGATTTGTATCCGAGCCACTGTCTTCTTCGTCATCCTGTTCTACTCGGTTCTTGAGGCGCTCAGCTTTAGCAGCAGCTGCAGCAGCTTCTCGGGCTTCGCGCTCTGCTTTCTTTCGCGCAACTAGGGCGGCGAATGCGGCAGTACCACGCTGGGCGGAAATGGGTGCTGTGTCTTGCTGTTCCTCCTCTTCATCATTACTGTTGTCTGCCTCTTCTACGGTTGGTGTAGCGGTGGGAGAGGGTGTGGGGGATGTACGTTTCTGTTTAGGCGAACGTTTTCGGGTTGGGGCTGGTGTGGCATCTTCCTCAGAGTCTTCTTGGTCCTCCATCTCTGCATCGCTAGGCTCTTCGTCTCCACCAAATACACTGCGATGTTCGCGTGGTCGAGCTGGCGCCGGGGCTTTTTTCGTCTTCGCCTGTGCCTTGTGTGCAGCCATCATTCGCGCAGCGAGCTTTCCACGGGGCCGTATTTCCTCTTCTTCCTCATCATCCATATCTGAGCCCTCATCTGTATCATTCTGTGGGTTAAATAGCCGCCTCTCCTTCTCTGGCTTTTCTGTACCTAACTCTTCATCTTCGTCGTCTGAACCAAGCGCTGCCCTCAGGGTGTTCTTCTTGTCCGTGACGCCAGTGGGAGGCTTTGCAGCTTTCTTCAGGAGAACAGTGATATCCTCTTCTACATCGTCGTCTTCTGAGTCGCTGGCCATCATATCCATGAGCCTCGCAACTTTTGTTCGCGGCGTTATAATCGGCGATCCACTCATGCTGTCGCGGGAAGGGGTGCCCGGAGGCGAGGGAGTCGTTGGTGATGCCATGATGGGTGTTTGTGTAGAGGATTGGTGGGTTCAATTCACCAGAATCGTGAATTGTAAAGTTCTCTCGAAACGGCAACGGTGTCTCTGGGTAACGCGTCTAGGGGAAACGCGCCAAGGAGCTACTTTACTTTACGCGTGGGAATGACTAAGGATCGGATATCCGTGCACGTGATCCAGCGGGATGGGCTAGGGTTGCATTTTGCGGCACGTGATTGGCAACGCGGGGTCCCGAACAACAGCTACAGCAGTGCCTGGGAGAAAAGGGTCTTTAGAGGGGTTTTTCCCATTTGACGGGCTGAATGGTAACGATAGGATGCAGTAGGCAGGAGGGGACATGGGCTATACTGATCGATCGAGGATCTTCCTTACTCTCGCCGCTGCCAGTGCTGGGAACAAGTGTTTCTGCAAGATTTCTTACTTGCCTTCGGTGGCGAGAGCTGGGTGGGTTTTTTTTCTCTTTCCATGTCTTTTGTTGTTGCCTTTTGCCCCACCCAATGGCACCCATAGCCTGTAGTGTCATGAGATGATTAAGCTCTTTCCTTGGCATTTATATCTCTGTTCTATTTTCGTCGTCGGCTAGGGCCTCGTTCTATGGTCATACTTTAAACAAACAATTATCAGTTTTTTACCTGGATAATTGTTCATTGTACTATTCACCTTCAAGTGAGGTTACCAACACATAGCATAGGCGTAAAACACACAGGCAGCATAGCATAAAACGCATACTCTACTCTAGCATATGTGTAGCGCGGTGGTGGGTGGTGCTAAGAATAGAAAGCCACTTGTGGACCGTGTTCCCCTTTCTCGATATCGGGCGCTTGTACTGGTTCTATGGGCCCTGGTTCTGGGGTTTTGGTTTGTTAATGGGCGTTTACGGATCATCATAAACAAGATCTAGAGGCCATGGAGGGACTCGCCGTTGTCTGTGTGAGTAATTGCGAAGTCCTGGTGATAGACAATAGAAAGTTCGCGTAGGAAGTATATAATAATATCATAGCGTCCTCCTCCTCCGCCTTCTACCCCCCTCCTCATAGGAATATATCCCCCCATTGACGTTCAGGAGAGTATTTCTCAGTGTGTGCCTTGGGATATCCATCTAATTAACTTATTGGCCCGGTGATAATTTCTCTCGTCCTTTCTTTAATCACTCAGCACTATATTTCAGCTGTGATTTCGAGCTGCTACTTATTTAGTAGGGTGCTCTCTTCTCTCCTTCTTTCTGCATCCCTCCTCGCTCTTTTTGCTTGGACATCCCCATCATCTATCCAAAACAGCCCCTTCTACAATTCTCCGGGTTTCACGATCTCTCTTTGGTGTTGCCCAAACCCAGGCCATCTTCGGACCAGGGAACGTAAAGCATCCCCTGCCTGCCTCTGCCTGTCGCCTGCCTGCCTGCCTGTAGACTGTCTGCCCCGCCCCACCACCAACCACTCGCTCACTACAACCGCTATCTTGTACTCCACACATACAAACCCACAACCCCCCCTCCCCTCCCCCGTAATCTGCCTTCTGCCTTCTGCCTTCTGGCTCTGGGCCTTTATCTGCAACTCCGCGCGTCTTGTCTTGTCGCATCCCGTGATTGTGGACCAATAACCACAAAAGCACAGCACAGACAGCACAACAGAAACGAAAGGAACGGACCTCCACCCCCCTCCTCTAATCATACTCTTACCCCCTCTTCCTCACCGTTCATCACCCACCACCTCCCTCTTCTACTTCTATCTCTCCCACCTCTCCTCCCTACTTCTACTCCTCCTCCTCCCTTTATCCTGCAACACCCATCCTAACCAACTCCTCCCCCCACCTACAACATCAACAATGACCGAAGAATCAGGCTTCAAAGCCAAGTCGCTCAAGCGCAAGAACTTGAAGGGTTTGAAGCTCTCAGAGACCCCGAAACCGGCGGCTCCGGCGATAGAAGACCCTGCGAACAAGATCAACGACATTGGCGACCAGCTCAGCACGCTCGAGATCGGGGTGGAATTTAAGCTAGACTTGAGAGCGGAGGATCTAAAGGTTGTGAACGAGCTTGGGGCCGGTAATGGCGGGACGGTCAGTAAGGTGGTGCATGCGCCGACAAAGACCATCATGGCGAAAAAGGTATGTTTTTTCCTGTTTCTGTTCTATTCTTTGCTTCCGGGCGGGGAGGGACTGGTCTCTTCCGGGTATTTGGCAGCTGGCGGGAGTGCGTTGGGTGGGGTCACGGGAATGAACTACAAGATGGGTGGAAACGTATTCAAAACGGAGGGCTAACTTTCTCAAGGTTATACATATAGATGCGAAACCGTCAGTTCGGAAACAGATCGTGCGCGAGTTGCACATCATGTACGAATGTCACTCCCCATATATTGTCTCCTTCTACGGTTCTTTCCTCAATGAGGGAGACGTTGTTATGTGCATGGAGTACATGGACTGCGGGTAAGCAATCAAGCTCAGATCACATTTTTGAGAGCCTTCGAGCTTTACCCAAGTATCAATTTATTAACATCTCCACAGTTCACTCGACAGCATTGCCAAAAAAGTAGGGCCAATCCGGATCGACGTCCTAGGGAAAATCTCAGAAGCCGTCGTGGAAGGTCTCAACTACCTATACAACGTGCACCGAATTCTCCACCGAGATGTCAAGCCCTCCAACATTCTCGTCAACTCCCGCGGTTCAATCAAGCTTTGCGATTTCGGTGTCTCCGGAGAACTCATCAACTCCATTGCCGACACCTTTGTGGGCACATCAACCTACATGTCCCCCGAGCGCATAAAGGGAGCGAAATACTCGGTCAAATCCGATGTCTGGTCACTTGGTCTTTCACTGCTCGAGCTGGCAATCGGGCGCTTCCCATTTGACGCTGACGGCACAAGCGCCGGAACCCGTGCCTCGGCAGGCCCAATGGGTATTCTGGATCTGCTCCAGAAGATCGTCAACGAGCCAGCGCCCCGTCTCCCCAAGAACAAGGCCTTCCCGGCGAGCTTGGAGAAGATGATTGAGCACTGCCTGATCAAAGATCCCGAGAAGCGACCTTCCCCCCAGGAGCTCTTGGAGGAGTCATTCATGCGCGCCGCGAAATCGACTAACGTGGATCTGGAAGCATGGGCGCACGGCATCCTCGACAAGCCCCTAAACCGCCCCTCGCGCCAATCGCAAATCATGTCCCCGCCACCTGCAGCACACCGTGAGTCACCTGCCCCGCCAAGACAGTCAATACATGAGCCCCCACAGGCCCCGCGCCGTCCTTCGTCTGGATCCGATCGTGTAGACCGCGAGAGGGATCGCCCGGAGAGACCTCATGGTTCCCCGCTGGGACATCATCCAACCCGGACTAGCTCCCACACGGGGTCGCTCCGCGAGGAGGGTAGCAGCCACACCCGCTCTGGCTCTGGATCACGATCAGGCTCAAGACACCAACTCCACAAGAGCCACACTGAGCCCACGAACGTTCCGTCAGCAGACCGGGAAGCTCGGGAGAGGGCTCGAGAACAGTACCTCAAGGAGCAGCAGGAGGTTGAGCGATTGCGGCTGAAGGATTTGGAGCGCGAGACTCAGCGCGAGAGAGAGTATAGGCAGGGCACGATCGGCATCGGGTTCGAGGGTATGCAAATCAATGCGCCGCCCGGGACACAGCCGGAGATGAAGGAGAGGAGGAAACCACCGCCTATGGGTGTCATGAGTAGTGGCAGTGGGGCGGGGATTGGTGGCAGGCCTGTAGAGGAATGGGCTGGGCGTCGTTAGGTCAATTGATGGGGTTCTTTTCTTTGTCTGATTCTTTTTCTTGTCACTTTTTTTCTTTTTTTGTGGTTCTTTTGGACAATTTCTTCTTCTATAGTGTGTAGTTTTTTTTCTTCCATACTTTCCATTATATCCATTCTGCTTCTTTTTTCTTCTCTTCCTTCCAATGGGTTGCATTTGGCTGGTTGTTTCTTTCCTTTCTTCTGTTCTGACGGTGGTTTATCTGTGTTGTTGTCGTTGTTGCTGCTGGTGGTGTGAGCTGGCTGGACTGATTGATGGACCTGGGATTGGGATGGGGTATTAACTTATGGCGAAAGCGTTCAAGTTTCGGTATTCTATTTCAAATCAATATTTTCTCTATTTACCTTCTTTCCGTTCTTTATGTAGTATGTAAAGGGAGGTTGGGTTTGTGGAAAAAAAGATCTTGTGGATTTTTTATAGTAGCGTTGGCAAAGCGTTGGTGTCTTTCTTCTTCTTCGGGACCGTTATATACCAGCTGAGATGCAGCGTTTAAATCTATTGCTTATTGCCTATTCTCCTCTTCTCCTATTCTCTTGCCCCCTCTCTCTCTCCCTTCCTCGAAACCTGGCTAGTTTATGTCCTCCATTGTCAGCTTATGAAAGCAAAAACTGTACCATAGCTCCACAAAAACTCTACTCACTCACCCCTCACCTCCACGGCTACCGGCCCACCCCCCACCCGAGTGACACCCCATGACGCACACTAACCGCCAAGCGACAGGACCCTGAGCGGGGGGCGGGACGGACTAGCTACGCTTTCCAGGCAAGCTTCGAGTGCCAAGTCGGCCCGCCAAATCTCGACGGACGGGACGTTGAGGCGCCAAGACGGCAGTTGGCGGGCAACGTGGGCGTGTGGGTGGGGTTGGCGCTAGGCGTCGAGTTGGTGGTGTTGGTGCGAGTGAGAGTTGGTGATGCTCGCGAGGGGGCTGCGGGGATCAGTACTAGGGGGTGGTCTCATACCTATCCTCTATGAGCGGTGAGGAGTATGTTGCTCAGGGTACGAGTCTGAGTAGATCTAGCATGGGGGATAAGGTTTTGATTTAGGGCCCAGCGGGGTGGGCGGGCTGGGTGGGAGAGGTGGCTTTGGGGCTTGGCGGTTGGGGCTATCTACACCGTCCTTTCACTCTACTGCCACCTACACTTCACTTTGTCATCTTCATCATCAACCCCATCATCCCCATCTTCCCTTCATTCCCATCACCCCCCATCGTCCCCATTGTCCTCATCGCCCCCACAATGCCCTATAGAGGTTTTGCATAAGGATTGCCGGTTACGACCGAAGAACCTTAATGAAAAACCTGTCGATTCCTGGGAGCAGACCGAGGAATCGAAGGGCTATGTGATCTTTTGGCTAGCACCCGCGTCGATAGCAAATCAACGCGCATACAGTTGATGACTAGAGGTAGGTGAGTGTGCATTGCCTGCAAGAGATTGGTATGACCTGTGCCATCTGATGGTGTGATGGCTGTGCGGTACGGTCCGGTACGTGCGGCTGCTCATCTCATGGTGGGGTGCATTTTGTCTCCTAAGAAGGACCAAACCCGTTGAAGCAGGTACAGTATCAACCAGAGAAGCCCGGGACAAGACTTTTGCTAACAACTCTTGAATAACTAGCTAGCAAGATCGTGTCTAGGCTAATTAATAGGTGATGTCAACTCCTATCTCGCCACATTTTCTAAGCCCCCGATAAGTAAAGGTAAGACCCAGGCAGCTGGCAAAAGCAATTGATCGTAATCAACCAGACAACCACTGTTACAGCTGGCGTCCGGAGCTTTCTGGTTGTACACAGCCGGTGAACGGTAACGATTGCGCGCCACTATGTAATTCTCGTGGGGGTAGCTAAGGGTCTATCTAATTTACGGGCTCTCGTCATCCAGAGAATATCCCGGACGGTGGGCATTTAGAGTTTACTAACCAAATGTTTCTGAATAGTCTTGGGAATATCTGACATAAACACGGTAGGCAAGGCCAAGAAAGGTGCGGTAGAGCAGTGTCATGAACTCCGGTGACAAGGGAGCGCGCCAAGAATCCCTGTCCTATAGCAATTCCTCCACCACAAGTTCGTTCTAAGGGGCCAAGTATTACCAAAACTCTACAAAGCCCAGATATCTCTCGTACCCGCTCAGGGAAAGATGGAATATGTGGAATAAACCCAGTGGTAGTTGAAAGTAAGTCAGCGGCTACAAAACATACCACTCAGTGGGTACAGGAAGACAGATATGTGGATTCCAGGACCGGTATTTTTGTACAGTGTAGCACTACTAGGTAAGATTCTCATGTAGGTTAGTAGCATCTAACTATCAATTCGCGAACTCCATTTATCGTAAAGCGAGATTTTCTCAGGTGGAGTCAGCCGGTCAATGATTTCACAAGATGAATGACGCTCAGAGATGGCCGCGGACTTGAACATCTGTCGGTCTAAATAGTCTATTGCTCATGGCGCACCCAAACCCATGCTTCTTATTACCATAATTATAAAGAGAAGCTCCAGTTTCGTTATCCTCCGGGCGTGTCCGATTTGAAGGGGGCGAGTGAGAATTTGTGACGGGACCACATGAGTGAGATACTGCAAGAACACCGCGGAGTGGAGATTTTAGTTTATCCTAGATTATACAAAGATTAAGGTGCTTGCCTGATGAGTGCTCCGTGCCCTCGCCTTTGTCTAGTGATCTCAGGTCTTGTCTACCGCACTGGTAGATGGGTTCGTGGGAGCTGGGAGGGATGGGTATAGGGCAGCAGGATTGGGGTACGAATTTCACAAAAAGGTTATCAACCCTAAAGCCCGAAGGTTATGTTAAGCCTAAGGGTACATGTATGCATACTACGCCGCGTAATTCTCACCCGCTAAGGGTAGACTCTTACACAAAGATGAAATTTGATAGTCACAACGCTAAATACTTTTCGACAAAATACTCAGGCTACGCACTCTTTTCGCCCACACTTGGCACGCAAGCTCTCCCGTCTTCCTTCTTAAGACCCTCCTCTCTCTCCTTCTTCCCTTCCTTTCTCTCTTCCTTCTCACAACCCCATCACAACTCCATCCTCTATCCAGGTTTCGATTATGTTGATTCGCTCGTTTTGCAGAACCAACATCCTCGGAACCTGTTGGCTCCTGGGCGGCACTAGCACCGAGGAGTCAAAGAGGATGGGGTAAGTAAACCCGTGATGCCGGACCCCCTGACCAGGTGCGCCGATCCTCTTCCGTCTCCTGTACAGTGGATGATGGTCGCACCTGTCGATTCTTGGGTGCTGTCAATTGATAGGCCGAGGAATCGAAGAGGATGGGAGAAAGTAAGTTCTTGATACCATATTCTCTCGCCAGATTTGGATTTCGTATTCGGCTCCGTGCCGAATGAAGTCCAAACCTGTCAATTCTTGGGTGCTATCTATTGATGGGCCGAGGGATTGAAGAGGAATCTGGTAAATCAAGACATGGTACTGGTAGCGTCCGAAGGATTAAACGGATGGTGACACAGCAGTTTTCTCCCTCGTATCATCGTGACAGTAGTAGGACTCCGTTGACAGACTGGGTCCTTATGGAGACGGATCACGAAGATTATGGTGAATGAGGGAGTCTTTCGTACCTACATGTAGTTTGAGTGAAAGGTCGAAATCGTAGGCTTTCAAGTTGGTTCTTGTTCCTCTCTAATTTTTCTCCAGAATCGAGAGCCGTCGTTCTGTGCGTACCTGCCGCAAAGAACAACTGTCGGGGGAACTGGGCCACGAGACTCACCTAACAAACCGCGATGAGAAGAAGCCTCTGAGATATTTGTATCAAGTCCTTGTTCGCCCCAAAAGCTTACTGGCCGTTTAGGGTCGAAAAACAAGGACTGGTCTCCGCTGGCTCATAGTGTAAGCCACTGTATCTCTCGTGGTGACAAAGTTACCAATAACTTCTCCATCTCCGTCTGCGAAGCCTCTATCGACCTCCTCGTCCTCTCCATCAAATTCCGAATCTCCGCCCTTTTCACTAAACATCTCCTCCACGCATCCGCATCAAGATTTCTCTTTGGTGATCCGAAGATACGTTTGAGTGCACTTACTATTCCGCGGGACTTGTATTCGTATCTCTTCAACTCCTTCATTTCGGCCTCGAGCCGTACGTATTGCCTTTTCAGGAGTTCGATTTTGTGTTTTAAGGCGTTGATGCGAGCTAGGTGGGCATCTCTCTGGTGTTTTGGGTTTTTGTGGGCCGCCATGTGGGGCTAACTGGTGTTCCTTAAGGTGGGGATTTCAAGTTTTTTGGGAAAGCTATTACAGTATCATGGCCATGGGAGATAAGAGGACAGGCTTCTTTTAAAGTGTCCATTCTGATTTCAAGTTTACTATGGGAGGACACGTTTGTTGAGCATATCATGGGCGATTTTGCCCCTGGTTTATATGAGCGAGTCATTCGTTCGCATCTAGATTTAACTTGACATCGGGTTTTCAAGTACTCTAGGTGTCTGATACTTACAAAGCAGATACAGTGGAGATAGAGATCGAGAGTCGAGCATCTAGGTATATCTAAAGGAGCCTCGACTGTTTAGCCCTTATCAGACTTCAGCGGTGAAACACAATCGTGATAGCCAGATGGATGAACTATAGATGTGAAACGGTCTACATTCCGTAGTCGTCTTTGTTGGCAAGAAGGTCAAGTAAATGGTTCTCGCAGTATTTCAACTGACTCACCATCCATCACTCGGCCTCAAAACATGAGGTCTTGAAATCCCTCGACTAGCGCTATAACTCATAAGCGGTACCAGTGCGTTTAGGCTTACCCGGCCGGTACTAGCGCTATTTATGGGAAGCGGTCATTTATTTAAGAGCCAGCCCTTGTAGAAAACAACATTTTGCTTAACCTCCAGTTAGAAAGATCTCAAAACAGCGTTTCAAATAGATGTACCATTGGGGATCGTAAAGACGGTGGGGTTTACGATTATGGGTTGGCATTTGGATCACCTGCTAAACACAGATCGTTTTCTCAGAGTGGAGTTTTACGCTATTTCAGTTAACTCCGGGACGGCTCCCAAATAGACCCTAATAAAACAGTAATAAAAAGAAATCCATCAGGATGCGAACACTCATATACATACCAGTGGCAAAATTAAAAAATCTAGAGTGCCCTCTTGTATCATCACCGCATTCCATTACTTCAAAATCGCTTCTATGACGCACTTCTCGGCGGAGGGATTGGAGTGAAAGAACCAATATTTCAATTACCGTATATACAGTTGATTTCAAATTAGTGTAATTTCGCCCTCTTCAAAAACTAATCACACCCGCGCCGTCAAATCATAGCAAATAGATTTTTATTTGTTTCGGCAATGTCAAAGTCCTTTGCTCTGGTTTTTGATTGCTCCTGAGTCTGCGCTCGTCTAATTCCACTAGTGCTACAATTGAAGCTAGCGTTCCTTGGCAGATTCAAATTTTTAAATTTGCTATGTTGTATCAAGCGCCGTTGGTGCAGGGGTAGCATAGTTGCCTTCCATTATCAATGTTAGCAACTGGGAAGGGTTCGAGTCCCTTACGGCGCATTCACAGAAGGGATCTCGGCAGTTTCAGTGATTGAAATGCAGAAATCGTTTTTTTTCCTCTCTATTTTAGATTTACTTGATTGTAAAATTATCTTATCTAGTAAGATCGATGCTGAGTCAATTCCAGATGCCCTTTCTATAGACTCTACAGTGCGGTAATCTCATGTAACTCACTAAAAGAGTATAAGGTTACATGTAGTCATCATGTGGCGTAGCTAGTGGAGGCTCAGTGAGGATACGCAAGAAGGCGTAAGGCAAGTTGCGTAGTATAGTTGCCATGAGAGAACGTGTCACTTAGCTAGATCTCTTCTCTCATCATCAATACAAATACTTATAATCTACGTCTCTTGATTACTTCATACAGTCCTCACCCGGCCCTCTTGCAATTGCGATATCATGCACCCAAGTAGATCGACAAGACATGGCTTCCGGGCCCAGGAGGATGTGTGGTCGCCACTATAGTGTTAATGAGCAGCACATAAGTCATGTAAGTATAAACTTATACTACATATAAACCTCTATATGCATGTCGTAATATAATCTACTAGGGGTGCCTCCGGGTGTTACCCCCCGGGTCACTATTCGTCCCGCTCCAAAGGTACATATCACGTATTCCAGAACCCAGACCCCTTCTAGCACCTGTGATTGATCTCCTACAGTCCGAGTACAGGTACGCAAGCAGACCTTCCCATCAGCTCCGAGACTACCTCATCTTATCCTTTTGTTAGCCATGAGATTGATACCTGCTGTATTCCATTCAATGGTGAGGGCGCCAGGTGCAGGGTTAGGTTTAGCGAACTTTTTCGGTATATATTCCTCCACAGTAGTACAGTAGTCGATTAAGATTGAAATTTTTAAACGACAGTAAGTACAGCACCCTGGTAACCGAGTGATATTATATGAAGATACTTCAGGGTAACCTGGTCCAACCTCGAAAAAAAAGTTGAATTAAGCTCCAGAGCCTCCAAGATACCTCTAGCGAAACAAACCTTACCATCCCACCTCACCTCACATTTACATCTCAACCTCTCACCACCACCACACTTAACCAGCCTCAATTTCAATTCTACACAGCCATGTCGTCCATGCGCAATGCCGTCCAAGTCCGTAACCTTCCCACCTGCCACCTCCAAAGCAGAACACTAACGCAATTCACAGCGGCGAAACCACAAAGAGCGTTCGCAGCCGCAGGAGCGCGCAAAATGGGGTCTCCTCGAGAAAAAGAAGGACTATGTCCTTCGAGCGCGCGACTACAACGCAAAGAAGAAGGCGCTTAAATCCCTCCGCGCAAAGGCCTCGACGAGAAACCCAGACGAGTTCTACTTCGCCATGACTTCCTCGACGACTCGCAACGGGATCAAGGTTACGGAGCGTCCTGACTCGGAGGCGATGAGCAATGATGTCGTCAAGCTACTGAAGACGCAGGATGCGGGATATATTCGTACGCAGACTGCGGTGGAGCGGAATAAGATCGACAGGCTCGAGAAGGAGCTCGGCTTTATGGATACTGCAGAGGGGGTCGGCGGAAAGCATATGGTTTTCGTGGACAGCGAGAAGGAGGCAAAGGAGTTCAAGGCTGAAGAATACTTTGGCACACATAAGGACCTCGTGGGACGGAAGTTCAACAGGCCAAGGTTAGAAACACTGGCAGAGGTAGAGGTGAAGGGCAGGGGGGCAGATGGCGAAGAAAGGAAAGTTAGGAAACAAAGAGAGGCGAAGTACAAAGAGTTGGAAGCGAGGATGAAGAGAGCTGAGGAACTGGCGACTGCGGAGAGGGAGCTGGCGATGCAGCGGGAGAGGATGAAGAAGGGTGGAATGGTAGCGAAGAACAAGTGGGCCAGAGTCAGGAGAAAGTAGATTCTCCTCAATTGGCTAGCGAGGAAAAAAAGTTTGCTTTGGGTCGTATTGGGTGCTTTGTAAATACATTTACTGTAATTTTCTTTTCTTTCTTTTAACTTGATCTTTTAACGTGAAAATTTAAGTAGAATATTGTGAATACCAGCAAGCCCCGTATAACTAAATTATATACATAGCCTCTCTTCAAAGCGCCTGATACCTGGGGGGGCCCGTTAATTATCCTTCAGTCTCCACACTCTTTTCGGGGGTGGTTGGAGCTGATAATACTAAGAGCTACACTTGTGTCCTTTGGTTACAATTATATTTTAGTCAATTAGTTGCGGGATATCTAGGAGGAGTAGTTTGTGTTTTTTCTACTTCCTTTAGTCTTCTCCATCAATCCTGTCGTAAAATAGGCAACATAATATTTTAGCCATTGTCCTAGGCTCCGGGCACTCCACTATCGGTCCTTGATAACAACATATTGACGCCAATGTTAGCTCTATGTATAGGCTGGTGTAAGGATGAGCGCAAGATTCTAGAAATGTCGAAGATGCCACTCAGTGGTGTTGCCCGGCGGTACGTATACGAGGGAGACAAATAAGACAACCAGTCTTTCAATGGATATTAAGTACTTGGACCTTCATCGGCATATGTTCAAAAAGGACATATCAAGATCAGAGGAGGCGGTTGTTATTTTATTGCGGACTTCAAGGGTAGGTGATGATAACCATATTCAATTTATTCTTTTAAATAAAAAATATTCTCATTCTCATAACAGACATAATAAACCCTTGAAACCCCCAATCGTTTACTTCAACTCCTTTTCGTTTGATGATTCATGATCATCTGGGTTAGCATAATACCCATGGGACCACCATTCACATCTCTTCATAGTCTCATCATCAATTTTTCCAGTAGTAACCCAAGTCTTTCCATCAAACTGCAGAATCTCATGTTTATCTCCCCACTTTGGCATTGGCTCTGCCCATTCCGGTTTATTCGCATTCGGGTTACCAGTCGACCAGAAATCCACTTGGAAAGCTTGCATCGCCAGCGCGATGTATGAATTAGCCTTTCCAACCAACGGCCAGTTGTTGTAGAACGTATATTTAACATCTGCACCGTGACCTGCAGGTTCAACTTCGTCGACGAATGTCCTGTTCAACATGTAGTGGTATGAATTGCCGCCATAAGCTTCACCAAGCATGTAGGCATTGCAATCGATGAAAGATTCACCGGCGAGATTGATGACACGGGCGGTCCAGTTGCCGTTGTACCTAGAGAGAGGGTACATTTCTTTGATAGTATCGCGGGTTGCCTGTGTTGAAAGAGGAAGATTAGATTTGAGGTAGGTCTCTAGCTTTTCCTCGCTGTCCACTGATTTATCTGCGAATGCAGCGCCCTATTCATGATATATGTTAGAAAAAAGAAGTAAGCTAATAGGCGACATGGATCCGCAAGCACCTCCATTCCGACACCACCAACCAAGACATCGAGGTCCTTGTTGAATTTCCCGTCCTTGAGCATCCTTCCGGGAAGATCGGTGATATGCTTCCCATCGACGGCTGGTCCGAAAGTAAAAGTTCCTTATCGATTTACTCAATTAGTTATTAGTATGTAAAGAAGAACGAAGATATACAAACCGTGTGGTGAATCTCTAATCAACCTCTCATTCGCCCTCTTAAGCAGCCAAGAAGGTACAGCCCTCAGGCATGCGAGGTTAAAACACCCAGTTTCCTCTATGCCTCAATCAGCCCTGCCAGCAATTGCGCAAGCATTAAGTTCGAAGGGAAGAATTCATACTCAGAAATCTCTTGTAAGTGGCGTCCTGGAGATCATCTGCTGCTTTAAATCCTCCAGCGTTCGGAACCCAACCCGGACTTTGCGGGATCGCTCTCTTGAAGGGTGCCTTCTCCTCTTCCTTATCTCGCCAGATCATCTGATGGAGGACTGATCCTCCACCTGCACTCTCGCCCATAATGGTGACATTATCAGGGTCTCCACCGAACTCCGCAATGTATTTTTGGACCCAATGTAGCGCGTATCTTTGATCGTGGAGAGCGGCGTTAGAAACGGCGTCGAGAACACCTTCTTTCCTTTCTTGCGAAAATAGAGGTCCCGCCATGAAGCCGTAAGCTCCCATCTATTTAGTGTTAGTTTCTTGGGATGGCATGTGGCTGAGATTTAGTACATACCCTGTAATTCATAGCAACATACACCACACCTCCCTCAGTTCTCCTCATCATCCCCGTAGGATTGTAGGGGTACCAATCCTTCCTTCCGAAAATGTAGCCTCCTCCATAGATCCATACAATAACCGGCAGCTTAGATTCCTTTGTTGCATTTTTGGGAGCAGCAACATCTAGAAACAAGCAGTCCTCATTATCATTTATACCACCGAAGATTGCGTTCTTTATCATCCATCGAGCAATCGTCACGTTCGAGATCCAGTCTGGAATTTCCTGAATACATGAGTGGCCCTTTACACCTGTCTGGATTCCTTCCTGCACAAGCGGAGGCTGTGGAGCAGCGAATCGACGCTTTCCAGTAGGAGGAGCAGCGTAACGAATGTTTTTGTAAGTGTAGTACTCTCCTTTTTTCTATAAACGGGTCAGAGGAAAACTTAATCAGTGAGATATCAATAAATACTAACGTGGTATGTTGTAGCTCTGTGGGAGACGTAGTCCAAATGCACAACCGGGAAACCAGTATCTTCGTCTACATCTTCAACTTCATTCTCCTCATCATCACCTTCACCAGTCAATTGTAAAAGATTGAGCACCCAAGGATCACGGCCTCCACCAGCCGCTGGTGGCTCAAATGGATCTTGGAATGAGGGACTTCTCTGCTTGGGGGGTGGGGAACTATCGCTTTCATGAGCAACGACTTGGTCGAAAGATGGTTCGAATCCCAAAGGTTCCTGAACCAGTGTGGAGAGTACGCCCTTGCTGAGGGCGAGGAGACAGATGGCTTGAAGTGTCTTCATCCTGAGTTATGAAGACTGGTGATGACTTGATAGTGAGGAAAGAGAGAGGCATTGGTGGGGCTTTTATAGAGGGGCATGAATGATTTTTGAGCCGATATCTATCTACGAACTACTTACCCCACTTCTGAATAACGGAATAGCATTGCCTCACTAACTGAATATCATACAGTGCTTTTTCTCTCTCCATCACCTGAAGAGTACGGTCTCGAACTTAGCATATCATAATAGAGTAAGGACCATGTAGGTTCAGCTTGGATGGGGAAATATGCAACAATTGATACGTGATCACTATCATGCAATTGAGCGCATTATGGTTTATCGCCACAGCGCTCTCAAACATAGATACATCCAATAATCACACTTCTGTACAACCGTACCGGACAAAATATCCATATGGGGGGTTGACTACAAGGGCACTGAGACGAAAGAGAAGGGATCGTAGGTAAGAATCCTTATATCCCATTTTAATCCATCAAAATGATAATTTAGGCCACAAAACCGAGGAAAGACAGTATTCCCTTGATCTCCCCAATATTCTCGATCAGCCCCTTCCTAAAGAGTTTCAGGCACGAGATTCGGCCTTTCTCCATTTAATCTAGATCGGCGTGGTACTTGTTCTTAGATCTCGCTATCACTCGCCCATCCTAATGCGCGTCATTATTCCGGAAGTTCGGTACCTGAGACATAGATACATATGGTTGGGGACACCTTGAGCCGGAGTATGCGACATTCGATCCAAGAATTAACCGGATGTTAATTAGACTCTTGGCACAGATAACTGCTTCTCGTTTACAGTTAGCTAGTGTGTTAATACTAATTAACATGGCCCGCGACATTCATCACCAAACCCCGACCCTAATAACTCCACCCACAGAACAGCTAAATTAATTTGGACTATGTAGGGTGATAGATCAGATGAATACTAGCCGAATAACAAAGAGATAATTAAAATAGGGTGTGGTTGTGGAAAGTTATTAGCTTGGGAAATCTTGACGTTGGAAGTGCTCCGGCTCAAGGTGTCCCCAACCATACTAGTATTTCGCTGACGTTTTTGAACTGGGCTATTATTGCATACACCCAAAATCATGAGCTTGGCGTATTTTTGTATGGCATGCAATATCAGTCGCGTCCACAAACGTCAGAGAAATACGAGTAGAGTATGTACATACATGCGCCTTGCTCATGAGGGGATGATCCAATTGAGGTCAATGAGCTACTGCAGCCGTTGCAACTGGTACGCAGTTCTGCTTGAACACAGCGTCTTTATGATCACTCTTAATATTTTTCTCTACGTAAGTCTTTATTCTTACTGATCACTCTCAATGTTGAATACCTCATTTCCTGCTCAAGTGGGGTGTTGCTTCTCGACTCATTGTTTGGATCACTGATTGAGTTAGCCTTGTTGCATGCAGTCTTCATCACTAACCCCAATTGTCATTTCGTACAACAGCAGATTCCCGGCTATTTTCATGCGATGTCGATCATTGTTTCACGGCATTTATTCTTTGAGCTAGATCTGGCCTGGATAGAGTCGGCTATCTTGAACATTTACCGTGTGTGCGACGGATCTACTAACCACTATTGTATCCATAGTTCCGCCCATTGGCTCACCAGGGTCTTTCAGCTGAGTTTTGGTCCGAGGTTTTTTTTTTGCTTCGCATGATAATGAATGACTTGGAAGAATGGGTGTCTCAATTCCCCGCTTTCCAAGCTCGAGGAACTCTATTTAGAGACAGGTACACTGCATTTCTACCTACTCGCAGCAGGTAACAAGTACCCGAAAATGCACGTCCTAATCTGCAATTTCCATTGGAGTAGAAGTCAAAAATACACCCGAATATGCAGCTGCAAGTTTTTGGTGTATTTTTGACTTCTACTCCAATGGAAATTGCAGATTAGGACATGCATTTTCGGGTACTTGTTACCTGCTGCGAGTACAAGTAGGTAGCCTAGTTATGCATCACGGATCACCTCGCGCCCCAGCGGCCCCACCCATATCCTATTCCTATTCCCCGAGCGGTTCTGCAATATTGCCTAGCTCTATTTACATGGCTCTTAAACCAGACTCGTCCCAGACAAACAAGACTTCTTCATACCGTACCTCGGTGGAGGAAAGAAGCTTCTCATCCCAAGCCTCGTCTCTACCTGATAACAACTCCAAAAATATTTCAGAACACCAAATTGCACAGCTCAGGCAAGGTACTTAATCTGTTTATGACTACGTGTAATCATGCGTATGTGCAAAACCTTTCTCCCTGTGATACAAATAAATATGTACACAAGGTTCCCTGGGCAAGTACAAGCACACTTCTGGCTGACCCAGCATCGACATTGGAATTCTTAAGCGACTGATTCCTCTTCCCAGTTTATACATTCTGTTCTTTTACTTAGCTTTGGGTATTGTTTGCCTTCTATTTACACAAGAACCTTCATTTCTGGTATTCGCAGCATATTTTGGGACGTGACTTGGCCGGCATGCTTAGACATTTCATAAATCCCTAGTATTGAAGATCCATTCGTTTTCATTGTTTTCCCGGTAACCCGGTAAAGAAGGCTACGAGATTTATAATAGAGATCATTGATTCTCACTCGGCACCTATCAAGGTTCCCCGCAGTCGCTACAAACCAGGTTCTTACTCTCGCAGCTGGTAAATGGACGCTTCCTGCATGGTTCACATTCAGATGCCCTATAATAATTATCGTTTAGCGAGCGGTGGGCAAAGATCGTTCATGGTCTGTCAGCTGTGTGCGTTCCTGAACCCAAGACAGTTCTTGACATACGCAATGTTTATTATATTAGACCTTTTACCTAGAGCCTCTTTCAATCCTATTCACCGTGTACATTCCCAATAAGAAATATCCGTGCCCAATTGCGGTGATCAACGACAAAACTTCCCTCAAGATCTAGATATTTTATAGTCCCATCAGTTCAGTTCCTCGTTTGAATGACCCCAGACTTAGAGTAGGCCACCTGACTTCGAATGAGCTGGAATGAAACCATAACTCCCAAAACTACATGTCAAGCCGTTCCGTATAAGTATCATTGTCTATAATTGGTGATATTGTTGGACTTGCAGCATTCCAAGAACGAGGTGTCTTAAACGATTCCCCATTACTCCCTATGATTTATCATCACGCGTTGAAAGGCCAACCGAGAATATCCCATTCCCGGGTTATCCAAACTTTTTTTAAGTTTCTTGTTCTTGGGGTCTGATTTCCCTTCTAGACCTTATATGCGCTTGCAGATATGTATGCACGTAGAAAAGTAATCAATCGATAGGCGGTGCACAGGGAAGTAATGGCGCGGTACGGTGGTGATCGATCTTGATTGTTGGAGGTGGCAACGCGGCACACATCCCACATCCATGGAGTTGATCATGGATAACTACATATAGTTATAGATCCATGGGGGTAAGATATAGCGAGGCGGGTATTTGTTCAGTAATCTGGAAGCAGCACGGCCCGGGAGGCATCGCGGCTCGAGGTGGGTTCTAGATCTCTTGCTCAGCTATAGCTTATAGCTAGGATTCTGGGTGGGATTGAATAGAATCAATAGATTTATGATCATAGTTGATATTGTGAACTTCAAAATAAAGATAGCCCAGGGAGTCTGCCATGATTTTCGTTTTGTACTAAATAGTAGTGCACGTGGTGGTAATACTAAACTTAAATATATTACATAGATCGATTCAAAGGAAGCTATGGAGGATCAAGTACACGGTCGATACTGGTTACGATTACAAAACAATTTCCAACCATTCGATCTGGGGATACACTTTATGGTTTACCTGGGAATAGATGACTGAACCCTTGGGTGGCCAGTGCAGCCAGGTAACCTTGCTTGCCTAGTTCGGCAATATATATTAATTGTAACAACATACGACGTAGTCTGTGATGAGTATTTATCCTGTAGTTACTATTTCATTAGCCATTGTGTATGTGGGCACGCATGGGGGCAGGCACCTCGTGCTATCGTCTAGTTCCGTAAACTCATATGTGGCGCCCTGTGGGTGAATTCTTTTACAATGAAGTCCTACGGATCAGTAGATGTTTTATAACTGCGCAAATGCTCGGGATCGATAATTAAAATTGACATCACTAGCAACCATACAATTAGGGCGTATAACCGGGTAGTTTTATTTCAATTTATGCTGTGATTCATTGATGCATGATGGCAGTTTCACATACCTAGCCGTCATATATATATATATACGTGATAATCGTCATCTGGGCTTTCCCCAGGTAATAGTTTTGTTTTGGTACGAGTGCTTGCCTAGATAGATAAATTTTAAAAGTGAGAATATCATGACATTGTGATACTGTATATACTATTTCCTATTCCAGACCCCTATAGTCATGCAGCCTCGGATTCCCAGAATTTTTATAAATTAGGGGGCAAAGGACTTCCGTACCACGGATCTGAAGGGGTTTAAAATGGGCAGAAAAGCCTTGGATTACAACTTTTCCCTATTTTTCCAGTAAGAAATGTTATTCCCTACCTTCGAGATACAACGCTTCTTCCCTAACTTTCTAGTACAGACTCTTCATGCATTCATAGCGCAGACCTTTGCCTTTCAGGTACAAACCCTTCAGTATTAATCTAAGAATTAATTCTGCACTGAAAAAAGGGAACTTAGCTGTGCGCCCTCTAGATCTGCCCGCAAACATTAGACGTGTTCAAAAAACATATTCGGGAGTACAGGCAGGATAAAATTCCTTAAATTTAGAGTTTATAGTGCCATAAAATTCTGTTTTCAAAAAATTAAACCATAAACACCAACTCCTTCAAAGGAGATCGTGGATTTAGCTCTAATTATGCGCCGTAAGGGACTCGAACCCTTCCCAGTTGCTAACATTGATAATGGAAGGCAACTATGCTACCCCTGCACCAACGGCGCTTGATGAAGGGGACATGAATTAGAATTTTCAGCGATCCTATAGCGCTAGTCTTATCATAGGCGCTAGTTGACTCACTAGCGGTGTTACCTCTTGTCCTGGCC